ATCATGTGATCGAATTCGTTTTTAGTTAACCCCAGATTTTCGTGAGCTAGTCGTTTCATTTATGAGAAAACAGATGGTCCTGTAGTCGTGATGTGATGTGTAACATTGCTGGTTACACACTGTAATTTCGGTTGCGGTTGTTATATCCCAGAATACTTATCGCGTAATGGTTGATAGAATGGGTCTCTTGTGTGCCTAACTGTGACAGGTGATAATCTGCAACCATAAAAATGTTACGCAAACAGATAACTTAGTGTTTCCATCTACTAGCCTCTTTTTGCGCGTATAGATTAACAGATTGTGGTGTTGTCGGAGGTCTATACTAATGATTAGAATAAAAATATATACGACAACAGATATCCAGTTAATGGGTTTAAGTAAACCCATGTTAAGGTAAACGTACCTTTTACCATATGTAGCGATAGGCCTTCCGTTTGCCGCCTGTAGGTTTAAAGCCGATTTTTGGAGTCGGTCGTTAGGATTTGCGGGAAGAACTCTAACTTCTGCGCCAGTGAGGACGAAATAGCAAAATCTCGTAATCACGTCAGTGACGTATAACAGGCGGCTGTGTTTTCGGCTACAGTTGCCGTTAACGCGAGATTTGTGACCGCTTATGGTCATTACGAAATTGAAGGTAACGTGTCAGTGTATGACATAATTCCGTAATGTCATTCTGTGTCGCTGGAGGTTTTCCTTTGACTGAGAAAACCTCGGCGTTAGAAGATTTGGTGATCTCTAAAATGAGGTTGACAGACGCAGACAACTCGTCTACGGCGTTGTTTTGAAACGGGACCAGAACAGCTTGCTTCTGTTGAGGAAGTTTAGGCAAGAAATGTTATCTAAATGGACTATCATCGAGAGTTCTTTGACCAATAACTTCTCGCATTCTTAACAACATATCTGTCGCTGAACCGTGTTGCAGACAGATATTATTAAAGAGTTTATCTAATTTTTGTCGATCGGTTAGGTCTCGAAGTTTAAGAATAGATCGTTTAAGAGTTTCGTAATGTTTGGAAACATCACTAGCAAACATACTAGGTGTGATGTATCTGTAGAGTTCGCTAAGCAGTGCTTTTACTACTGCGGGGAATCGTGCACGTGTGTTGTTCACCTCATGCTCGTAGACGTCGGCCTCTGCGTAGCAGAACCAGGCTTCGATCTTGTCTGGCCAAAAGGGCATTAATTGAAATGAAGGTGGAGTCACAGTCTTTAACTTAAGTATCTTTAAAACAAAAAAATAGCCAATTATGCATTTTTTTAAAAATCAATAATATTATTGTGAGACAAACAGGTTAAAGGATCATTAAAGCGAAATGTGTGGAAATTTACTCACTAATGTGTGTGGAGGTGTGAACAGTATATTTAACAACAGTGCTTTTTGTGTTATTTTTCTCATATGACCAAAAATCATTGACTCCAAATCAACTATCGAATTCATTAGAATCAATGCAAGTGAGCGACAAAACTACTTGCAATGGATGATACCAAAGACTGTGAATTGTTCTATGACACGAAGTACAGAGCGATGAAAAGCCAATCTGTTTACATTAGCTCGACATAAGGATTTTGGATTTTTCAGATCGTTTACACTTGTTTGTACTATCTTCAACCTTTACCTGACTCGGACTCATGTTTTTCGTTTCAATAGCTTTTTCGTGATCGTATTATGATTAATGAAACAAATATTTGTTTTTGGACTGACGATTCTGACTTCCATTAAATATTTCTACTGACAAATACTTGACAGGTTCAAGAGAACCTTTCAAGTCAGTTGGCTTTAAAAAAATTTTTCGAATTTTGTCGAGAACTTCCAAAATTATGTTTTTAAAGCAGAAACCTAGATTGGAAAAAGTGACAATATTGAGTATTGAAAGCCGCAATTATTGTGTTGTGCGTTACTAAAGACACAGTCTGTTAGTTTGGCATGTCTGTTTTAATGAATTTGAAGGTTTGTTCTTTGTGTCAATGCCACAGGTATTGATAAATGCCCCATATTTTGTGTCACCTACCATTTTCATGCAAATATTTTTTGGGTAAAAGGACAAGTGACTGTATAGTCACAGACCACATATGTGGTAATACTTAGGCATTACAAATTATGCTAATATTTGATGATCTCATCTCTCCCATCACCAACAGTTTCAGGAGATTCATCTTTTCAAAATTTCGTCTTTACTGGATTTTTCTCATTGGTTCCTACTTCCGAAATGTTGGTCAACCTTTGCTACTAAATACATAAACTCGTTAAACGAAGGCCTCAGTTCTGTATGTAGCCATTGAAATCAAAAGGATAGTTCTAGCGCAAAGGTTTGCTTTAGTGAGTTCTCGAAAATGTGTAAATCGCACTTTTCCCACAAGTATATAGCAGATCATAGTTCACTCTTGAGGAAGGTTAATTTCTGGACTGTTGTGCATCGTAAAATTTCCTAAATATTCTGGTATCTTCTCGAGAATGTATGTGATCTAGATTAGTAGTTACCAGACATGCTTATGTCAGAGAAATTTTACTGGCTAACTATGTACTACTGATGAAACTTCATGGTACGATAGTTACTAAACTCGTTCCAAAACTTTACATATCATTTTTCTACTAGTTCCCATTTCAAAATAGCCTTGGAACATCGGTATATATTCGCATATAGCTTCACCTTAACATCCGCCTGCACTATTGGTTTGTCGTTTCCACTCTCATACTTTTGACTTTTTAATATACTGGTGTAAAGTGTCACAACTCATAGGTGTCTTCGAAGCATTGCTTGTATATCCTGGGACCAACTTGCTCCTACACCATTAAACACCACTCGTCGGTGGTTGGGCACACGTAACACGTCCCAGCCATCTCAACTGATGAAGATTCACTACATCAATTGATTCGCCATCCTTACCTAGTACCCGTTTCCCAATAACTGCATTACTTACTCGGTGGTCCCAGGATGTACGAGCAATGTTTCGAAGACAAATATGGTTGAACACTAGTAACCTACGATTTCAGGAGATCGGGAATGACTTTCCGCGTACTCGAATCGTTTGCACTAGCGGTGCGAGGTTGATAAAGGGACGTGAGAAGGGTTAGTCATGGAGATAAGAGAGTTATTAGAAGGTCTAGGAAGGATTAGAATGTGGCCAACTTGGTCTCGTGTGCTGTTACGGGTATGAGGGCTGATGTCACTTACCGGCTGCCCACACCGTGGAAGGGTATTTCTTGAGGAACTTGAAAAGGGAGTTGGATTAGTGTTGGTCTTAACGACATGGGAGCGTGACTGCAGAGCCCAAGGGACAACTGCTTTAGGTCGGTCGCGCACGGCCCTTTTGTGGGAAGCTTTTAACGTGTTAGCTCTATTCTTCAAAAGGCCTTATCGCCGAAGACGGAAATCCGTAAGGCAAGGTGTGGCGTGACATTTTTATGGCCGACCTTTTCTAACTCCACCCCTCCTTGTCAGAAGGCAGCATCGCTGCAGATGCTGTTTGTCCGAGGGAAACACCTTACTGCCGTCACACCCCTCTTCAGTCAGCAGTACAACTTCTCCCTCAGACCTTGAGTTGCTGCTTTTAGTCCTACTGTTCTCCAATCGACCTGCCTGGTATGGTAGAACCTACAGAAACATATGTTCCAGCCATTATAGCTAGGTTGGATCATCACGATAGGTAAGCCCGACCACCACGTCAAGGTAGCAGTTACGGTCGGGAACTCTACATAGTAAGAAAAATGTGTCCAAAAGTTGTTCTGAAGTAATACTGATGCGAAGTGTTTAGAATCCTTCATAAGATATTTGATTTTCAGGTGGTTTAATTTTCCTTCCTACTATATTTTGCATGATAGGTGAGCCCGACCACCACGTCAAGGTAGCAGCTACAGTCGGATATGTATAAAGGCAGTTCAGCGAAGAGAGTTGCGTCAACGATTTATTTATGTTTAAGTCAAACTTTGAACTTAAAGGTCTTTAAATAAACAGGACTAAATGATTTATGAAATAATACTTTTCAGAACTACTGCTCTGAAAATGTTACAGATTCAGTTGTATGGAGTTCACCTTATTCTTTATGTATCGTTCCTCTTTCGAGGAAATTTATTGGTTAACTTCCAGTATACAGACAACACTACCTTGTTTGATGGAAAAGCTGATCAAATTTAGTGTTTTAAATACTTTGAATAATAATTTGAGAGTTTTGCGGTGGTTTTCTCTTAAAACCTAAAATAGTATTCCAGAATAGGTCTGTGTTAACATTTAGATTGATTATAAGCTATCTAACTGCTTTTGTTCGTGGGTGCTGGTTAGGGTTAACGCGATTACAGCAACCAGTGTTTGAAAAAGTTGAGTAATGTGTCTAAAAATTGATCACAATGGCAAATATGTATTCACTCTTTATCTTGTTTCGTACTTTGAGTTTTGATATTTTTTCCTATTGTTTACTCATCAAGATGGTTCCTTGTTTTGGAGCCGTCGTCGCTATTTCTAATCGCTTGTTTTATCTTGGTTCTGCACGATGTAACATGCCTTCCTCGTATTGTTACTTGATGTATTCCATTCCGTACGTCAAACAAATCTGCCTTTTAATTGTATTAACGAAATTGCGGCTATAGTCGTATTGGTCAAATACCGATTTCCAGTAAAATTCTAATAAACGGGTTTACATACTATTCAAGAGTGTGATTCTGAAGATCCAAACATTCTACTGCTTTTAGATAGTTTTATTAAAATATGCGTCTTTTGCGTTTAAAGGCTTTGAGAGAAAAATTATTCCCATTTTCACATATAACGCGTTCAATAAGAGGTTGAGGTTATCAAATTTGATTATGTAAGAAAATGATGAATGAATACATTTATGAAGTTTCAAAAATAATACCGAATGAGATATGTGGTCTCCTAATCTCAAAAGTTGTTTAACTCATACCAACTTTTTAAAAAAGTATTTGTTTGCCCATAGTCTTACTTATTCTAAAACTTTTTCTATTAATTGTTTAGTGATGCAAGAAACCACAAGAGTATTACATTATAATTATGGAAACTTCTAAACAGACTTGCATTGTATTAGATGATGAATATAAAGGTTGGTTGTGCTAACTTTCCAATAACTAGATCCATTATTTTACAATTAGATGACAATGTGGATCTCAAATTATCATATCCAGCTAATTACTTCAATAATATCGAGAACTCTGGCTTATCACATATAAATGAAAATGGAATATCCGATGGTTATGCAGAAATATATTCCCCCACTGGTAGTATATCTAGTTCAGAATCTGTAGAAATTCCGTATGATATTCCTGATAGTCAAAAGTTTCATGATCTCGGTGCATATTTAAACTCAGTTGTTGTTGCTGCTTGTAAGAATGAATCCTTAAATCCCATAAAGCCCTGTTCACAGTTATCACAAAAAGAAACTGCATATATAACCAATCTAGAATTAACCGAGTCGGATATTGACATGGTACATAATGCACCTACCAATACAGACCATACAGATATGTCGAATGTGATGGAAATAAATAACAAACATAACATTCCTTCATCTCCTCTTCCTCAGAAGTATTCAGCACAAACTCTGACGTCAGATTTATCTAAAGACTCCCATACTGATAAAAACTTTGTAGAGGAGTTTGCTGATTTTATGAGTGATGGTCCGGTTGATGAAGATTGGGCTATCTTTTCACCCGAAGTACATAAAGACGTAGTTGACGTAATAGATGATAAGCCTTCTGTAACAAATTCTCGGAATTCTTTGGAATCAGATGATAGTGAAGACTTTGGAGACTTCACTAATTTTACACCAACCATTTTTTCTGCCGCGACAACTACTGTAAATATTCTGAATAACGTTGAACCTCTAAAAGGCAAACAAGCACCTACTCCTAGTATTTTGGTATGTTTTTGTTCGTTTACTTGTAAATCTAAAACCTAAAATGATGTATGTGTTCATTAGAAAAGCTAATATTAGTGAGAATTGTTTTTCCGTTTCTAAATGTAAATTTATGCTCACCTCATCTTCCTTTCTCTACCTATTCGCAATCTCATTTTAGCTGTGTGGGTGATATATATTTTGGTACTCTTTTGTACCAAAATTTGTGTTTAAATAAATATTGAAATGTTATTTCAAGCAACTATTAGTTTTGGTGAAGCAGAAAATCCATTCTTAGTAGCATAATCGTGAAGTTCTGTTCCTAGGTTTGTTTCATTCCGACTTTAATCAGGAATTCTTTAGTTGACTTTTAATCAGACTTATAGCACATATACCTTGATTCTACTGGAATCAAATTTCAAGCTTTCAAATAATAAAATTGTCGAATTCTGTCTCAAGGCTGATAGATTTAAATTCTTGTTGTCTCATAAATGTTACAGTTAGAAACTGTATACAAAGTTTTCCAAAGAAACCTTAATTGTCAGAGCATGCTCACTTTTAAAATAGATGATGAGCAGTAATATTAAAAAATGATTTGACATGGATGCAGATCTTAAGTTAGTGTGATATTGAAGGGTTTAGAAATAGTATTAAGTCGCAACGCTGAAAATAATCATTGAATGGGTCATACTTAATAGTCACATGTACCTTATTTGATCAAATAACTTTATGAGAACCTGAAAAGTCTATAAAGATCGTCAATGGATTTTTAATTTTCATTCATTTAGTCAGTCAGTTAGTCGCAGCGTATGATGTGATACGTATGTACATCGGTTTAAGTTACCATATCCCATTAACACACAGACATGAAATTGTCAGATCAAATCCCTAAGTAGTAGAGATAGTAATAATATGGGTGGTAATAGGAAATATTAGGCACGGAAGATATGGTTCGAGGTGAAAATATAAGTTAGTGAAATAAAAAATATGTTATAAGAAATTTAAAATCTCAGAATTTGAGGGAAGACTAAGAATGGATGCACCTGTTCCATTGCAAATGATTTTAAGCCATGTCATTCAGTCTCTAACCATTGGTTATGATAATAACGTGGACCCAAACCAGGTAGTTTACACCTACTAACATGACTCAGTCCAACTGTTAATAGCTTGTCAGTAAGGGGTTGTGGAGGTTTGAATTTCATCTAAGTTATGAATCGATCAATGTCACATTACCATTGAAAACCTGGGAGCACTGAATGGCTGTTTCGTCCTTGTGTGAGAGTTATCAGCAACGCGCATCCACGATTCCTCTCGCGCGACTCGGGCCCAGGACCCTCGGTTCCGTGTAAACGCTTGACCTCCAGACCACTTGAGTGCTGTTAGAGGTATGAGGGTGGTTTCCACCCTCTAGCTGTCCACATCGTGGAAGGGTTCTTCTAGAGGTAACTGGAAAGGAAATTCGGTTAGGGTTGGTCTTACTGACCCGAGAGCGTGGCCACAGTGCCCAAGAGACAACTGTTTAAAGCCGGTTACACTCGGCCTTTTTGTGAACATTTTCCATGTTAGCGCCGTACTTGTTGACTCGCACTATTATTATTATTATTGTTATTATTATTATTATTTTACCACGTCATTTATTCACCCTCTCTTATTCCCACTTTATGTATCCGTTTCGACTTAGACAGCAGCTCGCCTATGGTGAAAATTCGGCTCTATCTAAACGTTCTCGAGTCACTGCCTGGTTGAAAGTGAGAAGAAATAAATGTGAGAAACGGTGTCTTTTCGTCATCTCCGCCTATGCCCCGACAGATTGCAGCCCGGATGCAATCAAGGATGAGTTCTACCACCAGTTAACTGTTCTTCTCCAGAAAGTGCGTCCGACAGATATTGTAGTACTAGCTGGAGACTTGAATGCTCAGGTTGGGCGTCTAGGCACAGAAGAGAGTCGTTTAGGTGGCCGATGGGGACTCGTTGGTCACAGGACAGATAACGGGGAACGTCTACTGCAACTATGCACAGACCACAACCTGTTTCTGGCTAGCACTAACATTCGGCACAGTCATCGCCGATGTGCCACCTGGCGTCCTCCCTCTGCATCTCAAGCCTAGACTCAGATTGATCACATCGCGATCAGCTACCGCTGGCGTGGTTGTCTACAAGACTGCCGCTCCTTTTGGAGTACCTATCTGGTATCTGATCATGCTCTGGTCTGCGCCAATCTTACCTTACTTTTCAGTGGACAACAAAGTGACCGCCACCAAAGGATTAATGTTAGCAAGCTGGGTGCAACTTCTGTTGCTAGTAAGTACCGAACCGAGCTAGCTTCTAGGCTAGCTACCATTCCACCGAAAAGTATAGATGAGCATTGGTTGCAATTGCATGACGCCATGAAAATGGCGGGTTCAGTCTGTTGTGGGTTCGCGAAACGTCCCGCTTACAAGCACTGGGTTTCTTCTGGTTCCTTACAACTGATTGAAGCCCGTCGGTCTACTCCGGGTGACCGTGAGTTTGACCACAAACGAAGGATTTTACGTAATGAAATCGGGCAAAGCTTGCGTAAGGACCGAGAAGCTGGAAGCAGCAGTTGCATCGGGTAATTACCGGAAGCTCTTCCAACTCATCCGAGCCACTGGCAGCAAGAAGTCTAGTGTGGGCGAAACAATCTGCGAGGATGACGGAACGCCAATAAGTAACATCCATCGACGTCTTGGACGATGGGCAGAGTTCGTTGAAGGGCAGTTCAACTGGCCTGCTGCTCCGGCAACGTCGGTCAGACTGTCCTGCCCTCCATGGCCGGTGACGACCGATCCACCAAATGAGGCGGAAGTCCGCAAGGAATTCCAACTCTTGAAACGTTACAAATCACCGGGCCCAGACGACTTACCTCCGGCTCTTTTTAAAGATGGTGGTGACTTTCTGACTAGGGGACTGACAACGTTGTTTGCAAAGATCTGGGAACTAGAGGGTGTACCAACATCATGGAATGAGTCGATAGTTGTCCCTATCTTTAAAAAGGGTTCACGTCGTTCCTGTAACAACTATCGCGGGATAAGTCTGCTTCCGATTGCGTCCAAGCTCCCGTTATACTTCGTAGGTTGTTCAAAACCCGAGAAGGATTGACTCGCGAGGAGCAGGCTGGGTTTCGTTCCGGTCGAAGATGTATTGATCATATCTTCACCCTCCGCCAAGTGCTAGAACACCGCCATACTTATCACAGGCCAACAATCGTAGTGTTTCTTGACATCAGGGCTGCCTTCGATTCGTTGGACAGAACTGTTCTCTGGGATTGTCTATTGAAGAAGGGTGTGCCTGAGAAGTTTATTGACATCTTGAAAGCCCTATACACAAACACCTCAGGCAGAGTGAGGGCATACAACCACCTCTCTCCATTATTCCATTCGAGCAGTGGGGTTAGGCAGGGTTGCCCAATCTCACCATTCCTCTTCAACTTTGCCATCGATGACATTCTGGGAACAGCTCTGATGGATGTAAGTAATGTTGGTGTGGATCTGTTGCCTGGAGAAAGACTTCTCGACCTTGAGTATGCGAATGATATTGTCTTACTGTGCGAGAATGCCCAAGCCATGCAATCCGCACTTAATCAGTTGGCAATCAGTGTCCGTAGGTATGGTATATGCTTTGCACCTTCGAAGTGCAAAGTGCTTATACAAGACTGGCAGGATTCTAATCCTGTACTCACTCTGGATGGTGAGCAGATTGAAGTAGTCGAGAAGTTCGTGTATCTACTAGGTAGCTGCATAAGTGCTGGTGGTGGCGTGAGTGACGAGATCAATGCACGTATAGTGAAAGCCAGAGCGGCTTATGCCAATCTGGGCCATCTTTGGCGCCTTCGTGATGTTAGTCTGGCTGTAAAAGGTCGGATCTACAACGCGTCGGTGAGAGCAGTTTTGCTCTATGCTTGTGAAACCTGGCCTCTCCGAGCTGAGGATGTTTGACGACTCTCTGTGTTTGATCATCGCTGTCTCTGAAGGATTGCTGACATCCAGTGGCGAAGTGTCCATTTTCAGGGTCGACCTTTTCTAATCTCACCCTTCCTTGTGGGAAGGCAACATCTCTGTTATTCTAGCTGTCTAGAGGAAACACCTTACTGCTGTCACACCTCTATACAGTCACCAGTACAACCTTGCCCTCGGACCTTAGGTTTGCTGCTTTTAGTTTTACCGCTCTTCAACCAACCTGTCTGGCATGTTAGGACCTTTAGGAACGATTGTTACAGCCAGTATAGCTCGATTGGTTCATGGTGATAGGCAAGCCCCATCACTATGTCAAGGTAGCAGCAACGGTCGGGCTCTAAACCACTGAGTAGACATTAACCGGTGTTAGCGTCTAACTTAAACCAATCCACGAAATCGCTCGACCACCTTCCATTGTTTTTGGTAGGTAACTGCCTCACATTCAACATGGTTAGATTCCATTGGTCACGGTTTCTTGCTAGAAGTCTGATAATTACCTATAATTATCATGTGTTGACTAGTGACTAGCTACGAGAGGTATCGTCTGCGTATTCTAAGTCAATAATTGAATTTCCTACTAACTGCCGTTCAAACTAAATCATACTCTGTGTATGATTTATTTGCTAAATAATTTACCTTGAAATTTGATATGTGTGTCTGTTAGTATATATTTGTTTTTATGTCCTATAGGAACGCTTATTGCAGAAATTGGAGCCATCATTGGATAAAGCTTTTGGACTTCATTTCAATCACCAGACTGATGAAAATTTAAATTTGTCAATAGAAACCCTTGAAATCAGTCGACTTTACACAAATATCAATAAATCTGTTCATACATCATCAAATAAAGTTTCGACTTCGTTAGACTCTGGATCAAGCAAAGTTAATAAACGGTAGTTATTATAATTTCTTTTCTGATTAATATGATTCTATATAAGTATATTTGTATATTAGAGTTTGTTTAGTAGATATAATAATAATATATTCTGAAAATAATAACAGAATTCATTGCAATTTACAGGTATGATCGGCTTGATATCGATAATAATATAAAATGTAGAGGATAGATATGTGGTATTAGATTATTTGAATTGTTCTAGTTCAAAAATTGTTTAGGTAGTACATTCTCCTCATATATTGCAGCAATGAAAGGCATCAGCTGTGAAATTTTAATTCTTTTTAAGTGGATATTTTGTTAGTGTATGAACAGTGTATTTAAGGTCGTTTCCCGCGCCATAACAAATTGATCATAATCATCTATAACTAGTAAAAATAAAACTGAAGCAAAGAGCACGGAACAACAAAAGCAATAATTACAACGATGGATCGGTCAGGTTTACCGTAATACATGTACCAAATTGTTTATAACATACCATTCGTGTTAGATACTATTCAGATTATTTAGGGTTACCAGTAATAATGTTAGTGTAAAGTAACAGCATATAGGAAGGTTTAATTAGTGGGTTCGGTAATAACGATTTGACACTTAAAGTATCTATAATCTGTTTTGTGGAATATGATATACATACAGATATAAGAACATTGAAAGCATTTTTAGAAGAGAAGTACGCATCAATGTGGTGGACAAAGGATTGTGCTAGATTATTCCATAGTCTGGTAAATTCGCATGTAAATTAATTCATACAGAGAGAATATTTAGAATGTTATTGTTTCAGTAATAACGAAGAGTTACGGATGCTGTAGCTAGGAATTTCTGCATTTTGAATTGCTTCATCGGATGTAAAATATAGTTTTTTAAGTATTTTGAAGAGAAAGATTAGATTTAGTGCAATTCTTCTCTTCCTTAAAGGGTCGAGTCCAAGTTTATTACATCTAGACTTATAATTTAAGGTACAGTCAATCCCAAGAATTCAAAGTTTAAATCGTCTCTGAACGAATTCCAACCTTAATTTATCCTTTATTCAAGCACTACTAAAAATAAACGTGCAGTCTTATAGGAATGGTCGAGCCCATACTTCTACGTCAAAATACGTGACTCGTTTTTATAGAGGTTACAAATTATGCAACCCATAAGACGTTGAAACTTGGAGGCCTGTTTCGAGACCTGTTCTGTGAAGGACCAAATTGTAGGAGTACCTAAGTCCACTACTCTATGTCACTTAAATAACATCTTACCATTCATGGTAAGAAAAGTTGAACGATATATTCCTGAAGAATATCCATCCACATTTAGCTATGTTAAGCTCCAGTCCCCGTTTTGAGCACCACTTGGCTACCTTATTGAGCTACATACTGATGCAATTTTGCATATTATTCAGCTTATGAGGAGAAAATAAATCCACTACTTTAAGATCATCTGCATATAGAAGAGGCTTACCCATACAAAATCAACCGCAAATATCATTTATATACACTAAAAAGAAATGATAAATATCTTAACCCCCTAAAATGTGTAACATTTTCTTCTGTAACTCACAAATAATTAATAAATAGCTTTTTTAAGTACAGCTTTTCACACCTGAAAAATTCTGCTTCATATCGACTTATTGAATATTCTCTGATTTCTAAAGTGTATTGCTTAAATGGATTAATTGATAGTTAATTGTTTTCAAATAGACAATTATTCCATGTGTTAAATCGGTGTAACATATTCTTTCATTCCTAACATTCATTCACAATATATCTGAATCGGTGCATGATAAAAACATACTGCCAATGTAAAGAAAATAATATTTGTTCATGAATTAGTTTTTCTAGACTTTCACATTGTTGTTTCTTTTAACTTGACTTTTTATTTTGCTTCTTATCTTCACTAATATTAAAAATCATTGTTTTTTTATAAGTTAATCTAAAAATTTAGGATGCATATTTGTTTTCAAATTAAGTCGTATTAAGTCAGATTTACAGACATTCTAGTATGTTGATGTTTACAACAATATTAAAATCTAGCTTAATATTTTAGCTTACTTCAGATATCACAGTATGGTGGAACTATGATTTAGAGTTTAGAGTTTAATATTCAATAGCTAACTTGGTGGATACGGACTTCCTGATTGGGGTCTGACGATAATTGCGATGAGTGGTTGCGGACATTGTGTAATGTGGCTCAAAATCGGTCACAATGACCCAGATTCACTCACTTTATCCTTCTTTAGTTCTCGAGTTTTCGTACTTCTTCATACATACCTAATCATTCCGTCTTTCCTTATCATATTCCCAATGTTCACTCTTTTTCATTATGATTGCTATTACATGACTTCGACTCCCTAACTCTTCATCTTGTTAATTTCACCTCGTAATGGTTAATTGACCCATTCCGTAAATTTGTTAGGCTTTAAGTTGGTTATGATTAACTGATTAACTAGGGTGCAGATTTTAATTCTGTTCTCTTCCTATTTCAATCCAAGCCTTTCCGTAGTATCCCTAAAGTCACAAACAAACATACTCCATGCTGAATATCTGTAGTTGGTCAATGAGTAGTATATTAAGCTCATGTAACATTTTTAATTTACTGATAAAATCTTTGTGATAAACATATACCTGGCTCTTTTCTTGCTAAAGTAAATGTGAAATGTAATATAATAATAACAATAGTTTTTTAAAGGCTTGCACCAACAATTCACTAGATCTACAGAATCTGTGAATTGTTGCTGGAGGATAAATGGGGGATGTTTGTTTTGTCCCATTTTGGATTCTTCAAGTTGGTTTGATTGCATCACATTGTTGATATTCACTTTGGAACCCTATATACGCAGTAGCTCCATAGGGTTTATAGTCAAGCGTCCTAGGTTCAAAACCCAATATGAACATCACCAATGAGATGCAGGTTCATCCAGCTAACTAATCTCAAATAGGACGAAACATGGATCCTGTATTCCATCACTAGCCAAAATCCGTCTGACTTGTAACGGACTATATCGAGGTCTATCACACAGAATACACAGATGCTAACAAAGATTGATTAAGTTTCATCCCTGAATATCGACAACGAGATAATACGATTCCTTAATAATAATGATAATAATATAAACTTGACTGATCATTTACAAATCTGTTAGCCTAGTTACAGGCCGTATACGCTATAAAATTCATGTTTTTTAAAAGGAAAAAATGTTAAAGAATTTCAACTACTTTATTTCAATTTTTTCTGAAGTATCTGGAGTCGGCTATGCAACCCTGATCGACTTCCTGAAATAAATCAACAATGGTGGAAATCTCCCATTTTCATGACATATTTGAATGCTATTAATGTGAATCCCCAACATGCAGTAAGAAATATTCCCTATCTTTTCCATATTATTAATTTCTTGTCTAATGTTGTGTTTTTGTTTTTAAAATGAGTTATGTGATGCAAATGTTATGCAATGACAGTCGAGGTACCGCATAGTATATTATCAGGAAGAAAAGTTTGTAGAACTTATTGAGATTATGTTGCATATGCTTCTTACTTCAATGTGATGTACTGTTTTACGTCGGGATAAGAAATAGAAAGAAAGAAAATCGTTCATGAATTTCATAAAAATTGGTTAGCGCAAGCTATGAAGTTGTTGGCAACCGCTATCTATTAATTTGTTCTGAATGGAAATTTGACATATGTATGTATGAATGCTTAAAATACTCGTTGAATTTCGAGAACGAACTCTCATATTTGGATGTATTAGGGCATTTAAGTGCCCACATATATTGAAAAGACACCAATATGACTTCAATTAACATATATTAAAAGGGTCCGCATTAATAATACTATTAACTTATCCGACCACTCTTAATAGTTCTTTAGAGCATCTGGAAGCTTAGTGTTGATTGTTTTTCAATTTGAAGTGAAGCAGGAAATATGATGAAACCTGTTAGGTAACTCTCGATAACTGTCACTTAAGTGGTATTACGTGGTGAATTTAAACAGTCTTCATTATTGTTCTAGTCAACATAATCAGCGACTACTTCAAATCGAAGTCAGCTTTAAAAAATTATTCTACCAGTTTATACGAATATTCGTCAATATTAGAACGAACAGTATGACAAAAATTGGCCGTCGAGTTTAGAGAAGTGATTTTATCGGCATCTTCACCAAACAGGGTTGTGTCTTCTGTGTATTCTAAGACAATAAGTGGACCTCCTGGTAGGTGATCAATTCCTGAAATTTCAGTCGACGAGGACGTTATTTCTAGCAGCAGGTCTGCGATGAAATCGAACAAAAATGAAGGTTGTAGAATCAGTTGGCAGTTCTCCATAAGCTCGGACTCTATTGGTAGTGTTTGAGTGAAGAGCCTTCGCAAGGTTTATGTATTTCTGATATGATTTGATTGTTTAACGCTATATATTTCTTTGATGATCTTGATTTCTATTATTGCCTTGAAGAAGTCCAGACGAGTTTGCTGGACGAAACGTTGGAATTATTTAAATTTCAATCGCTGAGGTTATTTCAAATATAATCTTCACATATCCTATCAGTGCTTAATCAATGTGTTCTACTGACCCAATAAATAATTGAATGTTTTTGCAAAACTTTCATTTATACTCCCATTGGCTTTTGGGTTTGGTTAATCTCTTTTAATCACATGACCGATTGACCTGATCGTCATCCATTAGAATTATACCAATATATATGTTGACTGAAGATTGACTTAAATGCTAAGAAATCCTTCACCATTCTTAGACATTAGTCGGTTGAAAATTTCGCCATTATCCTACTTGAATTTATGTTTGCAGTTACCTCTATTGTAATATATGTTTTTGGGTGCGTAACTGTAAGGTTTAATCTAACACAATTCAGTGGGCGATACAAATGCACGTGGAGATAACAAAGCCCTTATAGGACGATGAACCATCACCGGGGTTATCAAAATGTATCCCTTTTAAAATAATGCTTAAGTACTGACTTCTATTTAAAGTCACCGCTAATTGTACCCAAAACGACAATTAATGCTTCACAACCAAATAATTAGACTCATTGAATACAATATCACTAAATATATCCACTGGAATTACAAATTTTCCCTGATATTCCAAAACCTTCCTTTTCTGTTTAGGTTAATCATCTTGTTTAGCAGCGTAGATTGGACAAACTTGTTAATAAAATCTAACAATAATAAAGTAAATGCTCAATTTGCAAAATGTTCATCAGTTGTCTCAGAATGACTCAGACTTCATTGTTCTTGCATTTCCATACAAATCGCATTCTGTTTTCATTCTTTACTGTTTGATCTTCTTGTCTCTCTGCTGCCAGACATTCTGTCCACGACTAACATCATATAATACTTATGTCTACATAAGTAGCACACACTACAGTTGGACGTAGTCAACAGGAAACCCTGAACCCAGGTTTCGTGATACTTGACACCCGTTAGCATGGTGTACCTGTAATTTTGAGGAAACTGGTGCTCCTTGACGGATTCGATCCAGTGTCACCCAGCTTCACAGTTAGAGACGTTACCACTGGGTTATTCGGGCCGTGACCGACCTCCTGTAGGACTGAGATGTAATCATAATTGATTGATCACTGGGTGATAATCAATCAATTGTGATGAATGTCTTATATTCAGTATTATGATATTTTCAATTAAATTTACTTCTTATCTCATTAAATTGACTATACTTGATTGCTCAAAAAAAATATTCTAATCAGTTGACCATTCATATTATACCAGTAAAACATTTATTTATGACATTAATTTTTACCAATTTATTGATTAAAAATCGATTTTTGTAAAATCTTACTTGTCATCAGTAATAAAATGAAAACATCTAAAAATTACCACAAATCAATAATAATTCGTAATAATGTTTTTAATCATTAGAATAAATAGTAAAATAATATTAATAATAATAATAATATTGAATCAATGGTTAGACATTTATTACATGTTACCTAATTTATTATTCCTTAAAAACTCAACAGATTTTAATTAATAATAGAAAGAAGCTTAAAAGAATATAATTACTATTATTTACTGAGAAAATTCACATCTTTACGTAGTTTATATCATTATGAAATGTTCGATAATGTAACTAGTTTCAATTAATTATTTTTTATTTCAATATTCTTATTAGAAACAGTCTAACTGATCAAGTTCTCGACCTGAATTACAATACAGGGATAATTCGAACCTCTACTAATAATGATCTAACTATTATAGCTGTCGGATAATGTAGTGACTATTTGAACTCTATAGCTTAGTGAATAATGCGTTGGAGTTTGAATTGAAATGTACTGGACTTAAGTCTTAGCGCGAATTTTAATACTAGTTTATTACAAGTACATCCAGCTGGCGAGTTCCTACTAGCAGGAAACATACGTCCTGGATTCTATTGCTAATCATAGTCTGTTTATTCTAGATTCAGTCCTATTATTTATAATTTCGTAGTCATCAATAAATTTCAGTGCATGTTTAGAGATGTTGGTTTAAACTTATTATCTACCTTTTTTGTAAAGAATGGTTCCAGTTATCGTAAGAACTCTAATCATGTAGCTTACATATATCATCATAGCTCAAACTAAACGTCAGTGTCTTTATAGATTGACCAAACATCTTCATTTGGCTGCCTCACCAAGCTATTTAGATAGCTGCTAACTTTCTTTACGACTGAAATGTTTATTGTGATTGATCATTTAATAGTCACTAATATCATTTTTATTTAAACTTTACTACTGGTCGAATTTTTTTGACCGAGCTCTAACCTAAACGTCTGACAGTGTGACTCAACTATGAATTCCACTTAAATTTAAGGGGAAAAAACGATGTCAGAAATGTTAAAAATCTTGAAAACCTACTTTTAGAAGATATACCTTTCAATATTTACTTCCTGTAATACCCTGTAATAAAAACTTGCTTTCTAAATAACAACCATGATTCGGTTTCCTTGATATTATATCATGGATACAACTTGTTTGGTTAATAAATTACTTTTTTTTCGAGTACAATTTTGTAAAACAATTCTCGATTGATAAAAATGACACATCTAGTTCTCATGTGATTGTATTTTAAAATATTATAATGCATGAAATATATTTAAATTCACTAAATGGAAGATTATGCCAAAATAGGATAGTCTGTTTAACCATTGAAATTAGTCAATGTGTATGTGTATGTGTATATATTTATTCAGGTTGGTTTTAAGTTGTATCAAATCATTGATATGAGCTATTTTATTAATGTTATATAAAAGTCATAACGTTATTGTCGTAATCAATCTTTCTCCTATAAAATCACAAATAATTAAAACTATTTTCCAAGTTACGTAATAATAGATTTGTAGAATCTCGATGTTTTTTTCTTGTAATCTATTTCATCTTGAAAAACAGTCAATACTTTTACTATTGAATATTTCAGATTAGGTCGCATTATTAACAAGTTGTATTTAATCTGTAGGATGTAATCGTCACGAACTTATCTCAATTGGAGCGTGACTACAAACCATAGATGAGTGAAGGGGTGTTTCGACCAAGTATGAGACTTCTCAGCAATTTTCATCCAGCTCATCTCTAGGGATAGAAGGCAGAACCTTCGGGTCTCATGCCAAGCACTCAAATTACATTGGGCATATAAATATTACTAATATCATTCAATGTTCTATTTTTTTTAAAAAAAAAAACAGATTCCTGCATTCGCTAGTCAGCTTCGTCTACTGGAACCAGTTCGGTTGAATAGTCAGGATTTGCATAAGAATATCACATTAAATGACAGTTCCATTAGTCAAGAAAATCATGCAAATGTTTTGTTGCCGACAGATGATTCCAATGACAAATCTCCATCTAATAGTTTAACGCATAATACTAACTGCAACAATACAGATAGTAAGTAATTTCTTTATTAATTTTTCCCTTAATATTAATGACTAGAAAATTGTCCCATGAATAATATCGTTTTAACATGTTCTGTAGTCTGTTACAAGTCTCAAATGTTAATTTATTTTCAATTTCTTTGAAATCAGTCATTTGTAGGTAACATAGAGCCGGGGACTTTTGTGCTTTAGTTCAAATTCCCACATCATATTAGCACAGCGAGATAAAGTTATCAAGATAAATACCAATTCAGCAGAAGTAGTAGTACTATCAGTGGTAGTCTAAAAGATTAAGCATAGACAATAGGATTTGAGAATAAAGAATAGATTCGTTGAATGAAAAAATGTAGGATAATGTTAAAACTCAGAATCTACGGTAAAATAAGGTGTAAATGGATCTGCATCATTGTGATCGCTTTTGACCTTGTTATAACGCTCCGTCACCAATTGTTATAACGCTTGGTATTACTTTGTCCAATGTTGTAACGCTTAAACGATTATCTACACTAGATCCCTCATAGTGTCTATTCTACAGAACTTCAACACAACTCAGATCAAGAACACGTAATCAGCCTGACCAGGACGTAATATATTTTCTCATCCAAAACCGACATAATCCACAACAATGAACAATCAATAATAAGTATATATGCATATGAGTGTGTCACAATAATAAGGATAAGGGAATATATAACTTATCTGACACCTGTCAGACTGTCTACATGTCTGACTAAGCAGACAACCAATCATGATCATTCTCGCCCACACAACAGACCCATTTCATTCAACATCTTCAACTCTTGGTTAAAATAATCATATTGACTTCAACCAGGTAATCTAAATCTACCAACATGTCTAATTTCAACACTCAGTGGCTTCATGGACTGATGTTGCATTTTGTTTTAGCCGCCACTTGCTTTACTTCAACTACTATGTCAGCAAACGTAATCACCTACCAGATATTTGGTAGGAAATCTCGGTAACCAACTGAAATTATTAATTTGTGATGCTTCATATTATCTTATCACATGCTTAATAGTTAAACAATGTTTACCTTCGAATTACTAGGTAACTAGCTCGTACCTTACTCTAAAATGTTGTACTCTTGCATAGACCATGTACCTATGGTACTAACAAGGTTGAAATGAACAAACCGTTTTCTTTCAACACTACATATATTATTATAACATAAGTGTAAGTTTAACAAATGAATGAAATGATGCATCCCACTACCTGATCAATTATACATTGTAATCCGTCTAAGCCTTCTGTTGTTTTAAAATAGGTTTTTTAGAAAACCGATAGATAAAATTGAGCGTTACATCATTTCGTAAATATTTCTTAGCCCTATTCTTTCTCATATTTTAGGTAAAATAAATCAAGTTCTGGATTTGGACTTTTTTGAAACACGTGAAACTCAAAATAAACCTAATCTTCACACAAATGGGAAGGTTAAGCATTCTGAATTATCAGGTAAAGTCTTTTTTCGTAAGAATGTCCTGTCGTTAAGTACTGGTAATTTTGTTGCATTATTAGTCAGATGTATTTTTGTAGGTTGGGTTATCATTGAAAACTAAAGAGTACTCGACAGCTGTTCTGTCCTAGTAGCTCACCGTTGACTTCAAGATGTTTCTGAAGTTCTAAATCAATGTTGTGATTGGTTAGGTCCAGGTATGTTGGTAGTAAACTAGTCGTCACCATTGGCACTGAATAATCGTCGCGCTACATCGCAAACTGGTTCAGGTTAAAATTGTATCATTAAGCACCGACCCATTAGTTCTAAAAATTAACCGTTCGCTGTGAGATCTGAAAATCTTTGATCCAGTCCCTGTTGGTGTCGTGTCTGCGCACTATCGAGAAGTCCCATACTGGCACAAAACACCTAACAGGTGCTCCCCAATTCTCAATGGCACCCCAAATGGGATCAATCTGTACCAAACTAATCTCTACAAAACCCCATCAGCTAGATGTGTGTTTATAATCACTGTGTTTGAAAATCTAGAGTTCGGATCTCTCAACTACGTTCGGTAACAGAATCATATCTCCGTGGTTTGTATGTTCAGCTCTCAAATAAATAAATAATGTATCGTTAACCAAGGTTTAAACACACGGGTAGCTTTCATACAATGTGTTTAGATTATGAATTAGTGTATAAAAAAGCACCTGGTTTTTAGGTTCCTTCTTTACTTCAAGCTGGTTGATTGCTGAGAAGTAAGCTGTCTCATATTTATGTAGTCTTAGTGTTGACTGAATCCTATCGATCAATTTACAATATGGACACCAGTCTGGAAGGGTCTATCGTATTTAGTATATCGGGCAGCTGAAGACAGTTAGAAGCAACCCCTGGACCTAGTTTTCATCCTAGCTGACGCTTTTCAACGTAAGTTTGTGCGGTAGTTAAGGAACTGACATTCCTTGTGAAATTTGAACCTATAGATACTTAGCATCCACTGTCACAGACTTGACCATTGTGGTATTCAACCGATGGCTTATGTCGTGTTTTAAAAGAGAATTCTGATATGATACATTATAGATTGTCAAGTTTCTAAGATAAAAACCATATGATTCTATTGTTCTCCTCATTTCTGTGTATAAAAGAAAGTCTGTAAATATTGATTACAGTTTTTTACTGAATTTCTTAACTAAACTGTCTGAACTCTTGTCTAAATATAGAGTATTCTCATATTTTTCATTGTATCAAAGAAAATAATAGTCTACTATTCTATCTAAAAGATTAAATACGTTTGACATTCATATTCATATTCACGGTATTCACTCATAATATGATCAATTTCATTAAAGTGCTTGTAGCGGGAGATGATAGCAGAAAAAAGACATGAAATGTTATTCCTTTAATTGAAGTTAAGATGTGAACTTTTATTTTGTTAAATAAAAAGAAATTGCGTTAAAATGTTTATTTATTACATGTATTAAATTAGTGATATTCACATCACAGTCTAGTCGTAAAATGGTAACCCTACGAGTTATTCTGGAGTGTGGAGTTGAGAGGATCATAAGAAATCTTTACTATACTGTACTATATATATATATATATATATATATATATATATATATATATATATATATATATATATATATATATCAGCGGCCTGCTTGAATATCTGGGCTACCTGTTCCTCCCATCTAGATATTTCGTCAAGTTATCTGTTTTCTTGTTTGTTTTAACACACTATTATGTTTATTGAGCTCACAACCTATTCAGGCGCGTTTATGAAAAGTTTACTATCTTTCGCTGTACGGATTACAAAAGGTACAACCAGCGACATCATGGTGGTTTGCAATATGCATTGAAACGAATGAACATTATTCAGATGTCGATTATCGAACTCCTAACACCTAACTGGCCATCACTCAATATTTATCGTCAGGATCGATCAAGATATAAGTAAAGGAAACCTGTTGAAATACTTTATGCTGAGAATTCAATATTGTACCAAAAATATAATGTTGAATAAAGCTTATAATAATATCAATATATATATATATATATATATATATCGTTAAATTTGTTCGTGAGTTGGGATACTGCCCAGGTGTCAAAACCGAAGCAGGTGGTTTTCACTCGAGCGTTTGATCTAGAACTCTAATCCCTCCTTCATGATCCTGGAGCCTATATGCACCATTGGTTTGAAGTCAGGGTTTCCCCACTCCCCTAAGTGGGCACGGAGGACCCATGAACCCAATTTAAGCGCTTCACGTTTGTTTCTCGTAATTTCAGTTTCGTAAACAACACCCTTGCTGCGAGAGAATAGTGAATAGGACTTTCATGGAGTAACTATATACACATAGCCATATGAGAGCATTTCGAGCGGTAGAACAAACTCTCCTCTGTCGATCGTACCATGGCTTTGGGGTGTAAATTATCACTTATGAATTCTATTCAAATAATGTTAAGTGTAGTGAATAACACCTCAAGCGAACTATTTAAACAAGCAGTTGGTGGTTTAATTTTGTCCACCGTAATTTTTCTACTATTTGTTAACTTACGTCACAAAATTATCTGAAGTTGTAGCTTATCGATTAGAGTTCTGGGGTTTCAGCTACTAAGTTGTAAATTCTGGCCTTACTCGAACTACTAAATTTAAGCGTCCGCATTGTATTACTAGCACTTAAACCTGCAATATGACTTATAGTTTACGAATGACAAATGAGTTATAGTGACTAGTTGTAATTCTGATCTCTTATCGTTGGAAGTTGAAAACTAACTTCTTTTTGATCTTGACCAAATAACTTCTTTCTGTAACGAATTATAAGGAACTGTTGAAAGTTTTACTTTTAATTCTGATGTGTGGGCGAGAATGATGATGATTGGTTGTTTGCTTTGTCAGACCTGTAGATAGTCTGACAGGCGTTAGATGAGTTATATATTCTCCTATCCTCATTCTTAATTGTTGTTAGATTGTTGTCGGTTTTTCGTGTGGAAATATATTTACGTTCTAGTCACGCTAATCACGTGTTCTTGACCTGAATTGTGTTGAATTCCTGTAGAATACACACTGTGAGGGAATCTAATGTAGATATTCGTCTAAGGCGAATTAACATCCCATTTATGTGTATACGAGGAAAAGCCGAGCGTTATAACAGATTCTCAAGGTAATAATGATTCTCTCATGTATTTTTCTAGTGTCGAATGGTACTAATTACAGCAATATAACGTATTTACTAAATACAATTTTTGTTTATTTCACTTCTAGACATACCGTTTTTGTAAGGACCAGTGATGCTTTTATTTACTTGTTATTTACCGGATAAAGATCCGTATATTCGACTTCCAGCTACACTCTAAGTGTGTGTATGTATGTATGTATGTATGTATGTATGTATGTATGTATGTATGTATGTATGTATGTATGTATGTATGTATGTATGTGGAGGGGAATGATATTACCCACTTCCTCAGGCCAAAGTAGAGTGAAGCGAGATTGGAACATGCAACTTAGTGGCTGAATGTCAAATGCTTTAATCACTGAGTTACCTCTGTACAATAAGAGTAGTACCGGGAGGTGAAGCGTATACAAATGACACATAACTCCATTTGAATCCAGCACAGCAACCAAATCGAATTTGGCGGGTTTACTGCTTGAAATCTAAATGCCTGAAGCAATATATCACTGCATATTTGATAAAAGTATAATTCTCTAGTAGTCATTTTTCTTTACGTAGTATTCACTTGGTGTCACTATTGCTATCTATGATATGGCATCTTGCACAAACTTTACAGTGATGCGAATATTTGTAGAATTTATCCAGTTCTATTCACAAAACCTTTATTCCTATTTTTATCCCATAGATTTGGAAGCTGAACTATCAGTTTTCACTATTCCTCCACCGATAACAACAATAAAACCACCCCAATTATTAGTACAAGCTGATTTGAAATTGTTAGAAATCAATAAGCGTTCTAAATTAAGTGAATCTGTTCGTTCCACTTTAAATCGTTTACCAATGATCAGCTATATGCGTTCAAAACGTCTTATGTTTCCTGTGCAGCAACAGACTCAAGATTAATAACAGCACCAATAACAATAACTGTTAAAGGTCAAGTTTTATTCTGAACAAGATTCTTTTAAGTATAATTAGGAAATCCTACTGTTGTGTTATATCATTCATAGAAGTAGAAATAATGGTTGTGTGTTAAAAATCATAATAATGTATTTTACAATTTGTTTTTCAAGTCTTCAAGTTTCTCTTTCGAAACAAGTAAATAACTAATCAGTGATGTAATTCTTCTCATTTCACTGTTCACAACTGATCGGATCAAATAATGAGCATCATTATCATTTTCATCATTATGATGATAATGTTGTATTAAAATGAAAATGTTGCAAAACTAGAAATTACACCTTCACTTTTTAATATATATATATACGGGTAAAAGTGCAAATACGATATCACTTTACATGCATTCTGCATGTTTTTGTCTCTTGTGTAAATTCTATTTATTTGTCCAGTGTATTATAGTAACAAATCTAGAAATATTTATATTTTTACAAATAGATAAAGAGAATACACTTGGTATATTTTAGTATTTTTATTTGAAGAAAAAATCCATTATGGTTCTTCTTTTTTTTTTTAAAGTTTCCCCTCTTTTGTTTTCTTATTGTAAATTTTAATTTTATTTGTCTTTTATCATTTTCACATTGTGTTATTACCTTTGATGTTGATGATGATGATGATGGTGGTGATGCAATGATATTGTTACTGTGTTATCAGAAGGATAGTGACAGATAACATTTTGTCTTGCCAAATTATCTGTTTCTTCTCGTTTTATTTTCGATTTTATTTTATTGTTCCGTCAATTGTTTTCCTTTTTTTTATCTAAACATGGATTGGTTAAATGTTATACAAGAAATTATACTCTATTTCTATTTCACCCTTTCTTCCCCAATTTGTTTTATTTTAGAAAACAATTGTTTTTGTTTTACATTTAATTAAATTACCATTATTCACCTTATTGTTGTTTACTGTTTATTATTTAGTTACATAATGTTATACTTTGTTTGTTTGCTTGTTTTTTTTTTCAAATGATTACATGTTAAATGTTCAATTATGTTTTGTTTTAATTTGTTAATGAATTATTGACATATTTATACTATAAATATTCGTATTAAAGAAATCTAGATTACTTATTTCAACAAGTAAGCAATTAACTAAACATACTGATAATTCATTATGTGTGATTGTCATGTTATGTTTTTGTTCTCATTCAGTAGTATATATAATATAATTTGACTGATGAATACTAATATTTGCTATGAAAAATAGAATGAATTGATTGTATAATTATTGAAATCACCTAATAAAAGTCGATTGTATGGCGCATGTATATTTGGTGCCCTCTTGTACTAATATTTATGTGTTCAAATAAAAATAAACGTCGGTTACTTTATTTAAATATAATAATAAGATTCTCTTATTTAAAAATAATTTAGACTATATATTGAGATCAACTGAAATATTATTTTAAATGTCCAACAATACTTTTAGGTATATTTAATTTCAGTGGATGTAACTTTTCAACAATAATACACACTTGTAACCTCGGAAGAGATTGGATGTTAACAGCATTAAATCTAATAATTTAAAATTCGCAATTTCACCTAATTTATGCTTTAGTACTATCATTATTCTATACATAATTAATAAGTAATTATCTCACCGCCACTGATTTAGTTAAGTCTACTGTTGACATGAATTCTAACATAAATATTGGGAAATTTATTTCAGCTTTCACTAGCGAGTTTGTTATTCTTATTATCAATGAAGATATCTTTTAATTCCACTTGAAATGTGTTTTTATTGAGAATTGATATAGACTGAAGTAACTTTAAAATACAGAGGATATTGCACTACTGCTTTCCTCCTAGTTATTGTATACTTTATTTTCGATATGTAATACACAAAACGGTATAACAGAATGAAACGAAAAAGTCCCCAAATCCATCCACATCATTGGTTTGTAATTAGAAATTTCTGATTATCCCTGATGCACTATCTATATCCATTTACTCTATTCAAGTTCCGGATGTCCTCTTTTCAACCCTTCACAAAACACTCCTTTAAACATGAAGGTGGTGATTTGGGTTTCTTTTTTAGAGGTTATAATAGTGGAACTCTATCAGAGGTTGAACGAACTTTTCTCAACGTCAGGTATACTAGGATGAATTTCACAGCTTCTCTTATCTATAGCATGTGTATAACCTTATTATAGAAGCTTAAAAATATTAGGTGAAAATACAGTAACACTAAATAACAGTTATATTTGTGTCTTCGTTGATTTATTCCATTACAATTAATTAATAACTCGAGACAGACCAAGAGAAAGTCGAGTGAATTGTAATTAATTAAGATGTATGCCAGGAACGACAACAATCGATTTGTATGTTTTATGATTAATATGTATTAATTACTTGATCTTTATTATTAACTTGTTACACAATGCTCAATTTATATGGAACTATCAAGTCCAATCTCGGCATTGCTATTTACAAATTCATCAGAGACCATTTAATCAAATTCAATAAAAGTGAAAGAAAACATGCAGCGTGAGCATTTAAACGTTCAAGATAAGGTGGCTTAAAAAAATAAAACACTGTAGAAAAGAACAGAACCCATTGTTGTATAGTACGTTTAATTGTTTTGCATATCGTTAGTTGAAAATGTCACCATATGTGGAAATTCTTACCTCATTTAACCTACCTGATCATATATTGAAAACTGAATTAGAGTGTGAGTTATTATCTGGTATGGAAACAGATTTGTAGTAGATAGAAACATCGATTGTAACTACTTCTTGAATCACTTCATTTATTTTATACTTATCAATCACTGAATTAGTTATTTCAGAAGAAAATAACCTATTATTTTCTTCGGTTTACTTGTGTTGGGTCCCATGTGATCGGACAGTAAAGATAAGAAAGCGGTTGTCTGACTTCTGTCTCTAATCCGATTGTTGATTAGTCCACCTTTGCTGCCAGTAACACCTGTATTCTATTTACCAGTTGTCGACACAACAACCAAGACGTTTACACTTATCGGTTTTCGACCTCAATTAACCAATCAGAGAATAGAGAGGAGGTCAGTTCTCGGTTACATTTAATTCGATTATTACTTAAAACATAATAAATTCCTTGGAATTTCTGACCACACAACAACATAATTAGAGATTTATAATATTCATGAAAGGTAATTATATGTGATAAATGAATAATTGATTAATAATAATAACATTAAGATATGACAAAGATTTACGGATCAAACGAAAGAGAAATATGAGAATATAAAACACTCAGTTCCACGATGAAAATATAAATAGTAATCCTTCATATAATAGTCTCAGACATCACCGTTTGCCCCATTATTATCACTACTCAGATCTGCAATATCACTAATTGAATTGGAGCGAACGCGAAGAAAATCAGAGAGCAATTGAAGGGACAACAGCATTAGAGGAACAACCGAGTATGTAAATGTCAACCCAAGAAAATGTACAAACATCGCATTTAATGTATGATTTTCGTATTTACTAAGTCACTGTGTGGTTTTGCATTAAATAACGAATTGGTTTTCGCCACCTGAGTTTTCGTTTACTACGTTGCTTGTGCTCCAAATACTGATTCACATCTATCAAAATAAACTTACCTTCATGACGTTTCAAATAGTCGGGATTTATTAGTTATGTCTTTTTGTCGGTTTAGTCTTTTAGGATTTATTGATTTCTTTCATTAGTGTTTTATTAATGAACAAGGAAACTAGGAGGTTATTAAGGTAAGGCTAGTATATACATTGCTTGATCTGTCAGTAATAGCCAATGTGTGATCTCAATGGATTCTATCCCTATTCACTCGGCTCTACAGCTAACGATGTAATTGATGAGCTGTTTCGAAAGAGGCTGACAAGGCTTTCTCCCTATTACTTCCAACCACCTTACATCAACTTTAGCATATTCCGACATAGTCTATAGAAAACAATGATATTGATGTATAGTAACACTAAGGTGAAATACAAATATGAAGCACCTGCTGATCGATGCCGTGTGGCAAAGCTGTAACCTGTGTTCAAGTAAGAAAACCAGTTATGCAACATGGTTATTCAATGATGATGCTAGATTACGGTTGTGTTGTATATCACCAATGGATTGAAAACGAAAATAATGAGGCATTCGATTGTACATCATTGCTTTAGTAGTATTATGCTCACTATTGATATCAAATGTTTTGGTCTCCATTTCATATTAGTTTTAAGATGAACTTATAGAACTCTTCTTAGGAATATTTTTTATCTATTTTTATTATACATGTATTAAATATTTTAGTATACTCTTTTTCTAATTGTAAGCTTTCGTATATATTTTAACGCTAATAAAGTACGGTTAACTATTTATGCACGTATTATACTGTTTTGTATCACAAATCAAATGAATATGAATAGGTTATGGTTGTCTGCTGGTGGTGAGTTTTGGTCTTGCAAGCTATGCAATTCATACGAGTTTTGATTTAAAATAATACATAAATAACGGAAGATAAATCGAATTACAGTATTCATTTTTGACTGGGTATTGGTTTGTGAAGGAATCTGCGTGAACTAACCTGCACTAAGATATTCAATGGTTGATGGTCGTCAGTTAAGCTAGGCTTATCAGTATTATTGGCGTCAATAATTAAGTGATCCCATAAATGGGCATATAGATGCTGAATTCATGACAAATATAATGTGTGTTAAATTTTCGTTTCATTTGATATTAATCATGATATTATTTTTATTATTTATTGTATTCATTAGTGTATCGTTATGTCCAACAAACCTCAGATGTGTAAACATTTACTGTTAATTCCAGTAGTAACTCTCCGTGTGTATCTATTACAGTTCACAAACATCCTATAACATATCTCTCTGATTACGTTATATAATGCAGAAATAACTGTCTACAAATCAGATATTTATTTGTGATTATTAAATATTTAAATGGTATAATATCATCAAAGGCTGTTACACTGAAGTCGATTAAC